GTCACCGTCACTTTAGAATGCGGTGCTCGTACACTGTTCGGCTTAAACCTCTTATTTTTTTATAAACGATAAATGACTCAATAATTACGTCCAACAATTATTAATTTGGAAACCAACCTTTAAACTTCGGAAAGATTTTACCTGCCCTTGTGACTATCTTTCCTTTTCAATATGATTTCAAATAGAAGTTGACTTCTTTAATATGTACGTCACCTTTAAATGGACAACATGTGACACCAAACCGGCTATCAAACTTTTTCTCTATGTAACAATTAACATCACCACGCGCGGACATTTATTACTTGTAACTGTTCTATTTCAATAATATATATTAAAGAACGATTCTTAGAGTGTTACCTTAGAGTATTTAAAATTTATGGTTTCATGTAGACCTGACAATTTGATACACGACACGAACACGATACGAGTTTTTCGTATATGTGTTTTAGAAATTCGTATTTCGTGTTTATTCGTGTCTGACACGTATTTTAAATTCGTGTTTCGTATCTTACACGTGTCAAACACGAATTTACCTGTTTAGACACGTATAAGACACGATACAAATTCATGTTGACACGTGGCACGTACAAACACATATAAACACATATATACACATATATACTTTAGGGTTAAATTTTGTATTTTTAATATATTAGGGACCAATTTCGTAAATGTCAATAATTAGTTTATAGCCCTAGCTTAAAAAAAGCCATTAAAAACGTGTATATTCGTATTTTCGTGTAACACGGCTAAAAAGCGTGTCTATTCGTGTCGTGTCACGTGTCACACGAATTTTTTACGTGTCGTGTTCGTGTTTGATACCCCAAACATGTTTTATAATTCGTGCCGTGTTCGTGTTTACCAAATTCGTGTCGTGTAAATTCGTGTCTGATACGAATACACGACATGCAGACACGGATTGTCAGGTCTAATTTCATGAAAGGGTTGAATGAAAAGCATACTAAGTTAATTTGAACTTAAATGTTTATTCAATTGTTTGAATGCAAGAAAATGAGAGCTTTCCTAATATGGTTTTGAAGTGGCAGATTATTGAGCTTAATTTGTAAATTCAACAAATTATAAAAATTAAATAATCAAATTATATAAAAATAAAATATTATAAACCCATTAAACTTTATAAATTATAAATGTATTTAGTTTTTATAAACTTGGCATATAAAAAAGTATCATTGGTTTATAAATTTTCCATTGCTTAATATTTTGAAATTATATTTTGTGTATGATTAAAGCTTTTATATTTTGTACTCATTGAAATACAACATTAAATGTTTTTTTTTGTTTTTATTATATTATTATTATTATTATTATTATTATTATTATTATTAATAAGTGGAGATAGAGTATTATGAACTAATCACTAAAAAAGAAAGGTTATTTTAACGTTATAGGATATCCTCTCTAAAAATAACTTTTCCAAACAAAAAATTTATACTTAAAGAAATATTTCTAATACATTAATTTTTTTCTTTCTTTTGTAAACGTTACTTATCTTTACTATTGTTAACTATATGTTATAACATGTTATAAATTGCATTAATAAAACATTAGACAATTATAAAACTAATACATAAAGTCACAGCAGGCTTTTATCCGATTAAATTATCACAACATACTTTTATTCGGTTAAATCATTCAACCTTTTTACTGGTCATACTCTTGCACATTATTTCTCAGATTTAAAATAAGTAATGATACACAGCGGGTTGTTTGGGCTTAATCTCTTCTCTGGAAAAACCATTATTACCTATTAAATTTTCAAAAAACGCAAAAAAATCTAAATATTGACCGGACCTCTACGAAAAATTAGGTTTTATACTATGTCCGAATATTATAACTATATAAATTTATCGTCCAAAAATCCTTTCTATACATATAGATGCATGCATAAAATCACCCACATAGGCACATACAGTACACCTATCAAATTTAACCAAGTAGCTTTTTAACCACCCACATACACCTATAAATTTAAACAAGTCGCATATAGCTAAGGGTGGCATTAATACAACTTCAACAAATTTTGACACCTTTCTCTACAGACCAAAAGTGTTTGATCTCATTCTTTCTATTAAGAGTTTTCAATATGTGTTCCATCGATGTTGCTGCTTCTTCTGTTTCCAGTAAGTACTCTGCTACAGACGTTCTGAAGAATCGAGTAGGAGTTTACATGGAGACGACAAAGAAGTTTTTAGGGTTGACATGTCAGAAAATTTTGAAAGTGGGTCGAGATGATCCACGAAGGGCAATTCATTCAGTAAAAGTTGGATTATCACTCACTTTGGTTTCTTTGCTATATCTTTTAGAGCCTTTGTTCAATGGGATCGGGCAGAACGCCATTTGGGCTGTCATGACTGTTGTGGTTGTGCTTGAGTTCACTGCAGGTAATTTATTAAGTTTTTATATATAGTTAGTTACAATTGGTTTCATGCATCAATAATTGATATATTAAATTTAATGGTTTATATATGAAGTTCTAAATTAATTAATAATATTTATTTGTTTATTTATTGAAAGGGGCAACGTTATGCAAAGGATTGAATAGAGGTCTTGGAACACTGTTGGCAGGATCATTGGCTTTCTTATTCGAGTATATCGCTAGAGAAACTGGGAAGGTTTTTTGTGCCATTTTCATAGGAGCTTTGGTCTTTTTGATAGGTAAATATTGAACACTAGCTGTTTATTTACTTTGGAGTAAATGTAAAAAAACAACAATAATACTTCGATTTGTTTCTGAATTATAATACTTTCTATGTTATAATTTATATTTTCAATTTTTTATTGAAACACCTTTTGAAGGGGTGTTTGACTAAGCTTATGACTTTTCATAAGTATTTTTCAACTTATAGCTTATAATTAATAAGTTAGGGGGAGTTACTTATTGATTTTGATTTATTTCCGATATGATACATTGATAAGTTATTTCTATCCAAACACTCCTTTTAACTTATACAGGTATGGAACTGATAATAAGTTAAAAAATGAGCTTAAATAAGCTTAGCCAAACACCCTCGAAAATCTGCATAACTATAATATTGTATTTTAAAAAAAAATTATTATAACAGTATACTTTAAAATATCTATTCAATTATAACAAATTTACTTTAACAAATCATAAAAGTATATTGATATTTTTTGCATTTAATCATGTTATGTTTACATTTTATATCAATTTGTGTTTGCAGGAGCTATGAGTACGTATTTGAGGTTTTTTCCAACAGTAAAAAAAAATTATGACTACGGTGTCATTATATTCCTCTTGACATTTAATTTAATTACTATTTCAAGTTATCGTGTTGAAGACGTGCTAAAGATAGCTCGTGAGCGACTCTACACCATGGCTATTGGATCTGGGGTTTGCATTGTCATGAGCCTTTTTATCTTCCCGAACTGGTCAGGAGAAAATCTTCATAATTTTTCGGTATCTAAAATTGAAGGTTTGGCAAAATCAATTGAAGGTAAGTGATTACGATTCTTGAAATATCGTGTTTCAATAGTTTTTGCAATTTAAAAGGTAATCATAAAAAATATGAACAATTTTATAAAACATTATCGGGTGTTTGGGGCTGTGTTTCAAAAATAATTTAACTTTTTAGAATTCAATAAGCTAAATTGAGTACTTTTCAAAATCATTTTTCCCCATCTTTAATAAATAGTTTTCATGAAATCTAGTAACTCAAAACTCTTTATAACTTTGAGATAAAAACACTATAATATCCTTAATCAAAACTCTCTTTTCTTTTCCTTCTTTTCTTTTGTCATTTACAACTATAAATAGTTTTTCAAACAATAAATAATTCATAACTTATAACTTTTTGTTACCACGTAAACTAATTCAAACATTTTGAAAAAAAATCTATTTTGCTACCAAATCCCTATTCTAATAAATAAATAATTTTAATCTTCATTTGTCAATTGTCACTCTAATACAACTCCTTATTAATATTATCTCATGTATCATGTACATATATTAGGTAACTCATTTCAAAATTTAAATTTACATTTTCTAATTATATCTTAAATTTGAATTTATAATAACTTTAAAAGTTTGATATATATCTCCTAATTAATAATTTATTTAAAATTATTTATTTAAAATAACTAATTAATAATTATAAATTTTTATTGTTAAAATTGAATTAATTTTATAACCGTGGTTCTACGGGTTATAAACTAGTCAAGTAATAAATAATAAGTACGTTTAAAAGGAGGTGCTAATTTTGAAACACCCCTTGTGACATGATAGAGAACTCCGTTGTCACAATAAAAAGATAAAGTTAATTAGTTAAATAAAAGATTTTATATATCAAGTTTTTTATAATTAAATCTTAATTTTTTTCTTCTAAAAACAATCTCATATTTTCAACAGGTTTGTTGACAATACATTTTTAGGGAAAAAGATTTGAGGTTTAATCCAAAATATATAAAAACAATGTGAGGGCGAAGATATAAAAAATGTAAGGGCAAATTAAAAAGTGAAAAAATGTTAGGGTCAAACCGAAAGAAATAGAAACGGTGACGATTTTTTAGAAAAAAAAAAGATGTATAATCCGAAAAAGAAAAATAATATATATATATATATATATATATATATATATATATATATATATATATATATATTAAATGTGCAAACTCTTTTGGCCAATATTTTTTTTACGGGTAAATAATTATTAGATTTTATTATTAGTTATTATGTATAAAAAATATTAATTTTAGATAAAATATTTATATTTAGAACTTATATTTATATTATCTGTTCGTATATTTGATGTAAATTAATTAACATCGGTGTCTAGTTTAAGAAATATAAACTAATTTATATACAATAATTTAATATTTTAAAATTGTCATTTTGCTCTAAATTAAACTTTTTAATAATCTTGCTTAAATCAAGGCTTCAAACTTTTGGCAAATATTAATGATATATTTATCTATAATTGATTTGTACAAAAAACTTTATAATTTATACATTTTAAAATTCAAGATATGATTAATATGTTTTATAATATAGTATAAGAAATAAGATATATGATTTTTTATGTTAAAGGTAAAAGTAACTTTTAAAATGTATTTAAGTGAGATTTTAAAAAATTGCAGCTTGTGTCAATGAATACTTTAGCGACAGAGAAACAAACGTGGGGAAAGATAACTCAATGGAGGATCCTATTTACGAGAACTATAAGGCAGTTCTAGACTCGAAGTCCATAGACGAAACCCTGGTATAATACTTTTTGTTGTTTTAGATGCATATTATAATTAATGAGTTCTTGGAACATATCGGAAAAAAATATTTTGAGTTAGATTCAATAAAATTGATATAACTTACAGGCATTACATACGAGTTGGGAGCCACGACACTCATGGCATTGTGATCCAATCCCCTGGCAACAATATGTTAAACTCGGAGCTGTTCTTCGACATTTTGGATATACGGTCGTTGCTCTTCATGGATGTTTACGGACTGAAATCCAGGTACCTTTTGCCCATATAAAGTGTTAGCTTATTAAATGTTGTATGGATAAAGTGCTTAATAGACTAATAATACATAATACATGTCTTAAACAAGAGTGTTGTATATATAAAGACGGTTTCTTTTAAAATAAATAAGTTATCTAAAATAAATGATCGTCTTATCTTTTTATGCAATGATGGAGTTAGCAAGCGATTTCTTTTTATGGTATGGCATTATGTATAGCTATATATGAATGTTTTCTATTATGGTAAAATACACAATTTTTTCCATTAAGTGCTAATATTTCACAAATACAGCCTCATTTTTTTTTATTATTTTTCCTACCGTTACATAAAATATGAGCCATTTTTCTGAAAGTAGAAAATAATTTGAACATCATTTATGCACACACATTTTATCAAACCAAAGCTATTGCTAATTACCTATCAATTATTGCATAAAATTTGATCATTCCATTTTGGCATTTTCAGACACCAAAATCCGTTCGATTGTTGTTTAAAGATCCATGCACTCGCCTAGCAACCGAAGTATCCAAAGCCCTAATGGAACTAGCAGATAGCATACGAAACCGTCGCCAATGTTCACCAGAAGTACTCTCCGATCACCTCCACCAAGCCTTACAAGACCTAGACACAGCCTTAAAATCACAACCGCGACTCTTTCTTGGGCCGAACGGCCCCAACAACACCGCAAACATGCTAGCCCTAGTGGCAGAAACAACACGATTAAAGCCTGAAAAGCAGTTATCAAGTGTAAAAACCGAATCATCAGCATTATATGAGTGGAAATCAAAAAGAGTTTCCAAGCAGTTGGAAGTGGAGGGGAGGTTCTTGAGGCCGACATTGAGCAAGATTGCAATCACGAGTTTGGAGTTCTCAGAGGCGTTGCCGTTTGCAGCATTTGCAGCGTTGTTGGTGGAGGCGGTGGCAAAACTTGATCTTGTGATTGAAGAAGTGGAGGAATTAGGAAGGATTGCTTGCTTTAAAGACTTTGATGACCATGTGATTGTGGACGTGGATGAGAAATCTAAAATGGAGATTAATTTGCCTTCTGATCCTGTCGAATAGTTTTAATAGTAATAATAATTAATTTTTCCTGTTATGGACTTTGTATTTGTAAACCATTTATTAGAAATTTGATAGTTTAAGACTGACTACTTTGTGTTATTATTGATTGTGTACATGTATGTCATTGAAAGCATTTGAAAATCAAAAGGATATTAGTATATCTTTTATTAACGATAAGATTGCCAAACCTATTCTTATATGGTATCAGCCAATTTCCGATCCCTTCCTAATCAATTCTTATAGCCAACACTATCTCTTCTTGATAATGGCATCAAAAAGCTCCTCCAAGATGGTACTCTTTATCTTAACACCATCTTTTATATGCTAACCACCAAGTTATCCTCTTCAAACTATCTCTATGGAAGAACCAAATTACTCCCCTTCTCAAATATCATAATTGAATCACTCATATTAATGGTTCCTCTGTTCCTCTTCCTGAGACAATTATGGTTGATGATAAAACTTCCCCTAATCCCTTTTTTGCTTCATGGGAAGAAGTCGATCATAGAGCCATTATCATCCTTCAATCCTTCCCCACAGAAGAAGCCATGGATGAAATTCTCGGCCTATCTATTGCTTCAGATGTTTGGGTCACACTTGAAGCCGCATACTGTCATGTTTCTGTTGAACGTATGCAAAATCTTAAGGACTATCTTTGCCAACTACAATAAGGTTCCTCTTCTGTCTCTAACTATTGTTGAAATTTTAAATCAGTTAGTGACCATCTTGCAGCCATCGGTCAACTGGTAGATTAGATCGATAAAAGTAACTGGTTTTTGTGTGGTCTTGGTCCGTCTTTTGAAACTTTTTCTACAACTCATAGGTCTATTAAACCGATACCTCCTTTCCATGACCTTCTTTCTTAGGTAGAAAGTCATGAATTATTCTTATGATCTGTTCATGGTTCCGCAGCTCCCCCGGTGGATTTTAATGTTCACTCTTTTCTCTCTCTCTCTCTCTCATGCTACTTCAAGTCATGGATTGTCACAACTAGCATTTTTGGCTAGGAAATTCTATTTATGTATGATCAAGTCTTGATATATCTTGTAACTTTAAGATTGATGCTATACATGTTATTCATTTAAAAAACAACTATTCGAATCAAAATTCACTCGTGAAGCCCTAAACCTAATTCGATACATTTCATACACTCTACTTTGGGGTTGTAACCCTAATTTCCCGATTCAAATATTTATTAGGCCAGGAATCATTTATTGGGCCTAATGGGCCAATAAACCCACAACTTGATTATTTTGGGCTAAAATACTTCATTTGGGCCCTAGTTGGACCCACATTCATTAAACTATAACATTTTGGGCCATAAGAGTTTTCATGGGCCTTATTGGGCCTAAAATGTCTCACTTTGTTTTCATGGGCCTTATTGGGCCGTAAACAATTTTCTTGAACCTCAATGGGCCGAAAACCCATTCTTTTTGTCATGTTGGGCCGTAAACACCTATGTGGGACCACATGGATCAAAACTCCCTAATGGGCCAATGCAAGAACAAGCCCAAGGTCCATATTTTCTTTCTTTCCCTCCCATTCTCGGTTTGTGATATAAAAAAAAGATGGAGGAAGATTAAACATGTGCATGACAACACATGTTTAACCTTCATGTATCCATGGGGAAATATCATGTTTCTAGGCAAGGTAATTACCCCACAAATAACAAGATTTGTATATCTCTCTCTCTCTCTCTCTCTCTCTCTCTCTCTTCTCTTCTCTTCTCACTCACTGCCATAAGAGCCACCACCACCACCAACATAATTCATTCAAACACAATATTCTCTCATCCTTTCCTCTCTAGCATAAGAAATACCTCTCTCCATTCTTCCAATTTTCGTGTGTGTTTGTGTGGGTGTTCAAGAACACTTCATCAAAGCTCAACCATTCTTGGTAAGTTTTAACCAAACTCTAGGTTTATTACCATCCATTTAAGCTAAATCATTCCTCATACACACATGTTTTCGTGATCTATGCTCCTAGAACTCTCAAGGAACTGAAATTCTTCGCAAGAAGCAACTAGGCCGAAAACATCTTCTTCACTTCTTCAAAACCGAATCCAACAACCAAAGTGAGTTCATACCCCTTGTTTTCGGTTTTATATTGTTTTTGGGGGAGGATACAAGTTTCTTTGTGTTAGACCTATGTGTTTATGTATGTATATGTGTGTTTTTCCATGTTATATGTTGTGATTATGTGTTAAAACCTCATGAAACTCGAAATTGCTAACAAAACTTGGTGATATTTGCAAACTAAATCATTAGATGCAACTTGCTATGAAAATGGAAAGTTTAAAACATGTTATGATATACTAGAAAACAATCCAAAAACGTTTAAGGGGCCATTTTTGACAAATAAACAAAAATGTGAAGTCTTTAGGACATTCACGGTTTTTCAAGGACCAAATGAGTCATTTTTATATAAAAATGGGTCTTAAAGATATTTATGGTTTTACAAGGGCCAAAAGTGTTAATTTTCACAAAATGGGCTTAAAGTTGGGCCTTTACGGTTTCATGGGCTAAATTTGTAAACTTTTGACTTTTGTGGGTTAAATTTTCATTTTAAACAAATTTGAGCCAAAAAGGTAAATTTTCGGTTAAATGGGCTGAAAATGTAAATTTTATTAAACTTGGGCCAAAAGGTTAAATTTCTATACATTTGGGCCGCAAATGTAAATTTTCATCAAAATTGGGCCGAAAATGTTAATTCTAACAAAAATGGACTAAAAATGTTATTTTATTTAAAATACTCCCTTAAATGTAAACTTTTGATTGTAAGGGACCTAAAGTGTCATTTTTACCTAAAATGTGCCTTAATTGTAAATTTTCGGCTTAATGGGCCAAAAATATCATCATTACAAGAAGTGGACCTTTTATATCATTTTGGTAAACAATTGAGCTAAAACAAACAACGTAATAACAAACAGACAAAATACGTCATTTTCACTTTTATTGGGCCTGGAAGATACATTACATGTTTATTGGGCCTTAGTGGTCCATTTACATGCTTGTTGGGCCTGGAATATACATTACATGTTTATTGGGCCTGGTCCATTTACATGCTTGTTGGGCCTGGAATATACATTACATGTTTATTGGGCCTTAGTGGTCCATTTACATGCTTGTTGGGCCTGGAATATACATTACATGTTTATTGGGCCTTAGTGGTCCATTTACATGCTTATTGGGCCTGTAATATACATCACATGTTTATTGGGCCTTAGTGGTCCATTGACATGCTTATTAGGTCAGATACTTTCACCACACGTCATTGGGCCTTAGTGACCCATTTATATGCTAGATAGGTCTTGTATATTCATTTCATGTTTATTGGACCTTATAACCTAAATACATACATGGAAACATTAATTTGAAACGGTAAACAATGTGATACACTATTCGCGTAAACATAGTTAAGATTCTAGTGAGACGCTCTTTCATTCGTACCTACCTAGTGTCCTGTAGTTATAACCAGAGTCTCCTGGAGGGAGAGCGAGAGTTTGTGTATAGATCTATACGAGGTTGACAGCCCCGCACCTGAGCTGTTCGTTACAGCTAGACTAGGCCAGTCTAGGGTGACTAATGTCTTACCTTAAACAAGTCGACGCCTGAAAAATGTCACACCCCAAAACCAGAACGGCGGAATCGTTCGGGGGTGGAGGACGTCATGTTCAGTATCACAACAATGAATAATAGTAAACAAGCAACAACATCAT